AAAGCGGTACCTGACCATCGGGCTGTGGCCGTACGTTTTATTGCTGCAGCCCGCAGTAACGCCTGGGATCAGGCCGTCCACCAGGAGGGGCCCGGTCACAGACCCCGGGGCCCTGGGGGCGTTGACCCCCGGGAAATCTCCCAGGTAAACTGGAGTGTCTTACACATATAACCTTCCGCAGGTACTGGGATGCTTGCCCATTTTCCCCCTTTTTCGACCCCTAAAATGGGTCTAAGAAGACAGGGATGGAGGGTGAAGAACGGCCCGTATATTTCTCCGTGCCAGGGATCAAACCCCGGGTCCTTCGAAGGGTTTGTCCAATGCTTTACCCCGAGCAACGCGGCCCCCACGAACGTGCGTTAAAGAAAAAAACGTTATGAGTCATGGTCGCGATATTTTAACACTGAACACGAGTGGCTGGAGTGGGGAAAACTCGCAGTGGTGGAGTGGGAACCTCGCGCGTCTGGGGTGGGGAACACCGCAGTGTGCTGGAGTGGGAACCTCGCAGTGTGCTGGATGGGAAAACCCCGCATGTGCCGGGGTGGAACACCCGCGTGTGCCGGAGTGGGAACACCCCCAGGTGCCCGGGTGGGGAAAACCCGCGTGTGCCGGAGTGGGAACACCCGCAGTGTGCCGGATGGGGGGCCCCGCAGTGTGCCGGGTGGGAACCTCGCAGGTGCCGGGGGGGAACACCGCAGTGGCCGGAGTGGGGGAAAACCCCGCTGTGCCGGGGGGAACACTCGCATTGCCCCAGTGGGAACACCCCCGTGGCGGAGTGGGAACACCCCGTGTGCTGGAGTGGGAACCCTGTGTGCTGGGTGGGGAAAACCCCCCCCGTGTGCTGGAGTGGGAAAACCCGCAGTGTGCTGGGGTGGGAACACCCGCAGTGTGCTGGAGTGGGGAAAACCCCCAAGGTGCTGGAGTGGGAAAACCCCCCGGGCTGGAGTGGGAACACCCCAGTGTGCTGGGTGGGAACACCCGAGGTGCTGGAGGGGAACCCCGCGTGTGCGGAGTGGGAACCCTCGCAGTTGGGTGGAGTGGAAAACTCGCGTGTCTGGGTGGACCTCCAGGTGCTGGAGTGGGAACCCGCGTGGCTGGAGTGGGGAAACCCCGCATGTGGGAGTGGGAACCTCGCGTGTCTGGGGGTGGGAACACCGCATGGTGGAGTGGGACACTCGCAGTTGCTGGAGTGGGAAACACTCGCAGTGTGCCGGGTGGGAACCTCGCAGTGGCGGAGGGGAAAAACCCGCAGTGGCCCGGGGGGAACATTGCAGGACTGGAGTGGGAACATTCGCAGTGTACTGGAGTGGGAGCACTGTGTGTCTGTAGTGGGAACACTCGCATGTAGTAGTGGGAACATTCGCAGTGTACTGTAGTGGGAAAACCCCTTGCAGTGTACTGGGGGAACACCGCAGTGACTGGGGGTGGGAAAACCGCAGTGGCCGGTGGGAACCTTTTCTGTACGGGTGGAAAAAAACGCAGTGTAAAGGATGGGGCCCGTAGGTATGTAGTGGGAACACTCGCGTGTAAATGTTTGGGAACACTTGCAGGTACTGGAGTGGGAACACCGCAGTGTTGGAGTGGAACACCGCAGTGTACGGGTGGGAACACTCACTGGTACTGGAGTTTGGGGGAAAAACCTCACAGTGTACTGGAGTGGGAACATTCGCAGTGTACTGTAGTGGGAACACTTGCAGTGTACTGGAGTGGGAACACTCGCAGTGTACTGGAGTGGGAACACTCGCAGTGTACTGGAGTCGGAACACTCGCAGTGTACTGTTACACTGGTTTGTGATAGTTATATAGTAGGGAAAACCAAGTATGCTACTACATAACACTAGTTTGTGTGATAATTCCCTGTGGGTGGCATCCTGGGCTTTGAAGTGAGCCGAGGTAAGATAACACCTCTTAACCTGTAAAACTGATGTGTAAAAATCTATCTGTGCCATCGTGTACCTGATACTAGCCTCTCAGATTCTCCATCTTTTGTACAAAGTCATCATGTCACCCCTGGTCCTACTGTTCTCTTGTCTTCAGGTTTAACTTAAGCTTTGCCGGGTCACCGCACTGAGACGACCTGGGCCAGGGCTCGCTCTGGTGAACCTACCTATACCTGTCTTTTGGTCTCTCAGAGCTCATGCCCCTCAGCTCTGATACTAGTCTCTTTACTAGTCTTTACACTTTTTCTAGCTTCTTTACATGATGTATTAGACGAGGTTCTATACTGGATGGACCTGATATATGTTGTATACAAGGTAATGAATGCTTCCTCCTTGAGGTTCCTGACAGCCACCCTTAAAATTGCCAGCCTTGAGTTTGCTGCAGAGGTTATTCAACTTTTTACCTCGGGTGAACTATGCTCTCCCTTAGGTCCTCTTTTTCAGGGAGGTGTGCAGCCAGGTCTATACTCTGTTGACTGATCATCTTTGCATTTCCCTGATTTTCAAAACCTTGCATTACTGGGATTACATTCTAACAGCCAACTGTCAGACCAATCTTACAGCTCGTCCAGATCCATTTGTAGTCTTGTCTTAGGACTTGCCTGCCATGGGTTCAAGTCTCACCTGTTCTGTGATTGGCTATACGGGTTACTTGTCAGACCAATCCTACACCTTGTCCAGATCCATCTGTAGTCTTTCCTAGTCTGCTCTTGTTTGTATTCTCCTCATGAACTTCACATTATCTCTGAACACTGACACCTCTGACATACTTTCCTCTGTCATGTTGCTTACATACATAAGAAAACAGTACTGGTCTCAGTACTCACCCTTGAGGAATGCCATACCTTTGATTTATACCTTTGGTGAATTATGAGAGTTTTTCTATTCAGCCTGGTTAATCAGACTTTTGTGCTGTGGCCTACTGCCCAATACCTACAGCGTGGCTGATCTGGCCCTGGTGAAAAATTTATGCATCATTCAATGTTTCCCTTTCCCTTGATCCACTCTGTGGTTATCCTCTTTTTCCCTCCCTGTGTCTAGCTTTGTCCCAAATTGTCGTGCGTTACCACCGATGATGAAGTGTACCCCTCAGCGTTTCCCGCCTTCATAGCACCTCGCCAATTGGAGAGAGAGATAAAGAAAAGAACAGAGAAGTTTCAGGGGAGAGAAGGGGTGAAAAGAGGGTGCTTACAATGAGGAATATGGAAAATTTGGCTACATGAGGTAGCAGTTGCCCCTTATCCCAGAGTAGCCAGCTCATCCCTTTAAAAGGGAGCTGGCTAACCCGAGGGTTAATGGGGGGAAGAGGTGTGGGGGTCAAGTGGGGGAGAAAACTAAACATACCACTCAAGGGGCCCTAGATGAGGCCACATCATCCAAAGGTATGAAAAAAATGCCCCGAAAAACCCCCAGTAAAAGGGGGGGATGGGGAAAACCAGTACCCCTTTAGACAAAAGGGGGGGTGTGGGGGGGATACCCATTTTTTCAGTAAAAACTTGAAATTTTAAAAAATGAAAATTAAAAAATTAAATCAAATTTAACCTTTCAAAAATTTTATGATCTTAGTGCTACTGCTCAGTTGTTTGTATTTTTAATTGGGAAAAAGCACTAAGCCCGTAGGGTCACAAAACTTCTTATATACATGTCTTGCTATGAAGGTTACTGAATTATTGGGATAAATTGCATACAGGAGGGCCTCGCTTTACAGCATTTCGCTAATACAGCGATTTTCAATTACACCCATTCTTCTTTTATTCAGACTTCCTACAATAAATATTCACTATTCACTGTAAGCTAAGGATGAAAATATTTTAGGGTAAGTAATGTGTGTACTGTTGTTAGTATCGCTACTGAATCCATACGTATAGGCTTCTGTAGTTTATCGTAGATCCTATCATCCATATATACATTTAGGCTCCCTGCTCAGCTAGGCCCAGTGGCTAGCATGTATGATGTCATACATTGACTCACGTGAACGTCTTTCACCCTACCTCTCTCTCAGATTCAGCGTAGGCTTCAAGGCGACTGGTAGGCTGGGCTAAGTTCCCCTCACAACTCTGCCAATATAAGTGATTACAACCAACCAACTGTGTTTATCTCCAACCATCATATCTCCAAGGAACCCTCGCAATACTGTATATGCATTTTTTAGACCTAACTATATTGCCCACTTAATACATGATAGTGAAAACACGTTATTAGGCTTTAATATGCATTTCAAATTGAAAAAAAGGCAGTTTCACTGTAGAGATTTTTGCTTCACAGCTGTATAAGTGGGACCCTCCGGAGGGTCCCACTTATACAGCTGTGGGGCAACTACTGTACTTGGGTACTCTCAGCTCAGGTAGATCTGTTTGTAACTTGATAAAGCCCACTGTGTGGGAAAAATATAGTCAATAAAGGATCCCATTATACTGCATCTGTGTCTATCTTTACTTTCCATATACATGTATGTATATGTATACTGGCAGTGGCAGACCTATATTTTTGGGGCCCTGAACCTTGAACTGTTATGGAGGCCCTTCACAACCCCTTCTCATACAGTAGATCTAAAATTTTTAATGTAGACTACAGTTGCTTCTGGGGCCCCTCCGGGATTAGGGGCCCTGAAGCTTAAGCTTCATTAATTTCATAGTAGATCTGTCCCTGTATATTGGATTTAGTGGAATAAATGTCACTTACATGCAGCGGACAGCTTCATCAATGTAAACATTTTTCCCAGACACACTAGTATTACTGATCAAGTGTCTGTCTGGGTTTTATGTTGTCCTTAATTAAGGTATTCATACATCTATTATCTGTGAGGAAGTGAAAAAAGAATCCTTCCTCACTCAGTCATGTGTGTCGTAAGCGGCGACTAAAATGCCGGGGGCAAGACGCTAGTATTCTCTCCTTCTGTATAAATTATTAATTGCAAAAAGAAAAACTTTTGTTTTTCTTTTTAGGTCACCCTGCCTCAATGGGAGATAGCCGCATGGTTAAAATATAAAAATTACATGTATCAAATTTCTCTGTATTACTTATCATTCTAATTCCACGTTGGATTTATTACTGACTAGTATTTACAAATCATATAGGTAGTAGGTTGGTAGACAGCAACCGCCCAGGGAGGTACTACCGTCCTGCCAAGTGAGTGTAAAACGAAAGCCTGTAATTGTTTTACATGATGGTAGGATTGCTGGTGTCCTTTTTTTCTGTCTCATGAACATGCAAGATTTCAGGTACGTCTTGCTACTTCTACTTACACTTAGGTCACACTACACATACATGTACAAGCACATATATGCACACCCCTCTGGGTTTTCTTCTATTTTCTTTCTAGTTCTTATTCTTGTTTATTTCCTCTTATCTCCATGGGGAAGTGGAACAGAATTCTTCCTCCGTAAGCCATGCGTGTTGTAAGAGGCGACTAAAATGCCGGGAGCAAGGGGCTAGTAACCTCTTCTCCTGTATATATTACTAAATGTAAAAGGAGAAACTTTCGTTTTTCCTTTTGGGCCACCCCGCCTCGGTGGGATACGGCCGGTGTGTTGAAAGAAAGAAAGATTTACAAATCTTATATATACAATAAAATAGATGATCAAAGACAACTCACCAGAAAGAATCGCAGCTCTCTCTCTCCTCCAGTCTGTGCCAGTCTCTCCTTCTACACGAGACCTGTAACACAAATACGCAGAGCTTAGTTACTCCTCCATACAGTATTAATGTTATCTTTTACATTATGAGGAGCCATAATCTCCAAGGTTTATCAGAAATAATAAAATGGGGCAAATATAGTTGTAGACAAGTTGTACGATTCAGGATTGCTGTACAATACAATTTACTTTATAATACAGAAGGGCCCTACTTTACAGCATTTTACTAATTCACCGGTGTTCAATTATACCCATTCTTCATTTATTCAGACTTCCTACAATAAATATATTTACCACTCACTATAAGCCAAGGCCAAAAATATTTTAGGCTCTACTGCTCACTTAATACATGAAAGTGTAAACATATTATCAGGCTTTTATATGTATTTAAAATTGAAAAAGGCTGTGTTTCACTTCACAGAGATTTTAGCTTCACAGCCGTAGCCCAGACCCTAACCTGCTGTATAAGTGAGACCCTACAGTAGCCCAGACCCTAACCTGCTGTATAAGTGAGACCCTACAGTAGCCCAGACCCTAACCTGCTGTATAAGCAAGGCTCTCCTGTGCAAAAAATTTCCAATAGTCTCACACATTGTTAACCCTAGTAGGCTACAGCATTTATAAATGTGCATTGTGAAAAAATATTGTGATAAACCCTGCATTCACATCAATAACTGTTACTTTATACATTAATCAATTGCCAACACTAAGTCCCAATTAAAATGATTAACATGACTCAAGAAATCATAATACACGTACCATGATTACAAATGAACCCCAGAACGAGTGGGATTTGAGCCCATGGGCTGGAGTTTCACGACTCACTCTCCACGGTTTCAAATCCCACCCATTCCATTGTTAGAATGATTACATTCTTATATTGGGCCTTGCTGGGCACAGCATACCCAAGCATAATGGATAAAGACTTTCTAGAAGCATTGTACAGTAAATGTTTGACTTATAAACACGTTGAGAATCTTGTCATTATTATACACAATACAGGTCACCATTGAATGCGTAAGTTGAAGACTTCCTGTATTATGAATATTTTACACAATTCAGGAGGTCCCCAGTGTGTTTGTAAGTCCAGGACTTAGTGTATTCTTTGCCTCTCTGTGGTTAATAGCAACATTATTACAATTTTTTTTTTTTAACAAGTCGGCTGTTTCCCACCGAGGCAGGGTGAACCAAAAAGAAAGAAAATCCCCAAAAAGAAAATACTTTCATCATCATTCAACACTTTCACCTCACTCACACATAATCACTTTTTTTTGCAAAGGTACTCAGAATACAACAGTTTAGAAGTACGTATATATGTATAAAGATACACAACATATCCCTCCAAACAGCCAATATCCCAAACTCCTCCTTTAAAGTGCAGGCATTGTACTTCCCATTTCCAGGACTCAAGTCCGGCTATATAAAAATAACATTATACTAAATATATATTCATAGGAAGTGCTAATTCCATAAGATCACACAGCAACGACGGAATGGGAAGTAACTTGATTTTGATTCAAGGAAAAGAAGGAGAGCTCTGCCTCCTTAGAACCTTCCTGTCATCATGGCAACTTCCTGTCCCTTGAAGGAAGGTTGTATGATGGTATCCCTTCAAGGGTGGATTCTATGACAGTGCCCCTTCAAAGAGGGTTGTATGACAGTGTTCCTTTCAAGGAATACGGTCATACAGTAAATACAAGCCTATTTTTGGGGTTGAGATGGTAGGAGGGCGAGGGGGAAGAGGGGAGTGTTGCTTCACCACTCACAGGCTGTTCTAATGTTTGCAGACACAATGTTCTGATAAAATTATGTATGTACAGTGTTTGTAAATCTGAGTACGTGTATACACGTGCACACATGCAGGCACTTTCACACACACACACATGCACACAAGCATTCACTCACACATGCACTCATTCATTCACACACACACACACACACATGCAAGCACACATTCACTCACAACTGCATGCACAACCACACGCAGGAACATCAAATAACAGCAGTGTTATGTTCTATCATTCACATAACAGCCACTAAACATTTACCACAGTTAAGGCCAACGAGGCTCCAAATTCGATAATTAACAATATACATATACTACATTGTCCAAATTAACCCCAACTGCATCAGTTCTAAATTTCAATTTGTTGAAAAGGGAAATTAAATACTGTACAACAATTTGGACCCATGTCAGTACAGATTAAATACAAAGGCCATAGATGTCAGGTCAATTTAGGCCATGAAATATGGAAGAGGAAGCAAATGTATCAGAATATGGAGGTTGAGGTGAATCACAAAATATATCAGAAAAAAAAGGTAGGTTGGAAAGTAGTGTAGGGGTTATCCAGGGCTGGAGGGCAGGGGGTGTGGGAGGTTTTTAGTGGTAGGGGCTTGAGCATCCAGCAGGTGTGTGTGCATGTGTTAGACTGCATTAAGTGGAGACAAATTTTTAAAGATTTGACATGCTGTTGGAGTGTGAGCAAGGTAACATTTATGAAGAGGGTCAAGGAAACTTGTTAGTGTAAACTGAATACTGCAAGTACAGTGCCTGTACCCTGAAGGATGGTTAGGGATGCTGCATTCAAAGGGTCATATGAATCATGAGATCCACAAACACTTCTGAGTGATGGTGAATGCATTTCCTTCTTTGGGTCACCCTACATTAGTGGTGAAATAGCTGATGAGTTAAAATTTTTCTTTTAAAATACATTATTTGATACAGTATTTTATTTTCTCCTGTCCTACTATAAGACATCAATACTTAACAGAATATTAAGTTTTTTAAATATATTTTGTATATTTTTAAATTAAATTTAACGTGTGTAAGAAGTTAATGTTGAAGGATAAATACAGAGGAACCTCAGCTTACGTGTGCCCCAGCATGCAAGTTTTTCAGGATACAAGCCGTCGCTCAGTCGATTTTTTTGCTCTGGATACGAGCCAAAATTCAGGATGAGGGCTTTCCCCTCAAGGGAGGTTCCTTGATGCTGGTGAGGGGCTCTTGATCTAGGGAATTGGATCTGTGCTCCAGTTCCCTAAATTAATAATAATAATAATAATAATAATAAGCGAGTTTCAGAACATTGCCAGTAGTTGGCACAGCCAATACCACATCAGCTGAGCTGTGCAATGTGTTTACGTCGCCGTGGAAGCATTTCTAGTGTTATTATTGCCAAATTTCTCTTTTCTAACCATGGGTCCTAAGAAAGTAAGTGCAAAGGACAATGCTGAGAAGAAAAAGTGGATGATGTCCATGGAATTACAACATGAAATCATAAACAAGCGAGGTGAGCGGTGGCAGTAGGAGCTAGTAGCAAGTAACCTATCTTCCACCCTCCATCTCCACCAGCATATGTCCACTTTATAAAACCACTGCATTTTTTTATATTCTCTATTATGTTTTTATGCAATATTTCCTATTTATGAAACTTATTTATGAAACTAGTGCAGTTAGCCTCACAAACACTCTGTTTTCTCTTATAATAAAAGCATGGGAAGATACAGTCAGCAGGAGAGGGAATGGATGCTGCCATCACCACTAGCCATATTATGGCCTATTTTATTCATTCTAGAGTATATATCACATTTCTATGTTAATTATATTGTTTATTATGTCATATTAGATGAACTGTGATAGATAAATAAGCCATAGAATTGATATTAGCATCATATTGAAGTATTTTTGTCCTGCCTCCCAGAGCAGGAATTCTGCTGGAATGGATTAATGGCATTTCAATTAATTTAAATAAGGAAAACTGACTCAGCAGACAAGCAGATCAGGATACGAGCTAGGTCATGGAACAGATTAAACTCTTAAGACGAGGTTCCACTTTACTCATAAATCTACAGGAGAAAGAGGAAAAGGAAGGTGTTATTAATCAAGAAAAAAATTAATGTATTAAAATGAGAGAGTGTGGAAATTATGTTATGCCATTAACAGAAGAATATTATACTGGAATAAGTAATGTTTGTAAAATAAATATATATACACACACACACATATATATATATATATATATATATATATATATATATATAAAATATATATATATATATATATATATATATATATATATATATATATAATATATATATATATATATATATATATATATATATATATATATATATATCTATCTCAACAAGTCGGCTGTCTCCCACCGAGGCAGGGTGACCCAAAAAAGAAAGAAAATCCCCAAAAAGAAAATACTTTCATCATCATTCAACACTTTCACCACACTCGCACATTATCACTGTTTTTGCAGAGGTGCTCAGAATACAACAGTTTAGAAGCATACACATATAAAGATACACAACATATCCCTCCAAACTGCCAATATCCCAAAACCCCTCCTTTAAAGTGCAGGCATTGTACTTCCCATTTCCAGGACTCAAGTCCGACTATATGAAAATAACCAGTTTCCCTGAATCCCTTCACTAAATATTACCCTGCTCACACTCCAACAGATCATCAGGTCCCAAGTACCATTCGTCTCCATTCACTCCTATCTAACACGCTCACGCACGCTTGCTGGAAGTCCAAGCCCCTTGCCCACAAAACCTCCTTTACCCCCTCTCTCCAACCCTTTCGAGGACGACCCCTACCCCACCTTCCTTCCCCTATAGATTTATATGCTTTAAATGTCATTCTATTATTTTTTTTTTTTTTATTATTATCACACCGGCCGATTCCCACCAAGGCAGGGTGGCCCGAAAAAGAAAAACTTTCACCATCATTCACTCCATCACTGTCTTGCCAGAAGGGTGCTTTACACTACAGTTTTTAAACTGCAACATTAACACCCCTCCTTCAGAGTGCAGGCACTGTACTTCCCATCTCCAGGACTCAAGTCCGGCCTGCCGGTTTCCCTGAATCCCTTCATAAATGTTACTTTGCTCACACTCCAACAGCACGTCAAGTATTAAAAACCATTTGTCTCCATTCACTCCTATCAAACACGCTCACGCATGCCTGCTGGAAGTCATTCTACTTTGATCCATTCTCTCTAAATGACCAAA